TAGTTCCAGTTAATAAATGACCAAATACATCAGCACCTAATAATAATTCTACTTCTGGTGATGCGGATGAAAGGCCTGAATCAGTTAAAATTATATTTTTCCTTTTAAATTCATTAATTAGTGATATCTGTTAATCTTGGAATGAAATTGCATATTTTGTGTTGATTTAGAACGTCTAACTTGAATTCAGAATTATCCTGTAAGTTCTGGACAACAATTTCATACTTATTGTGCAGTTTTGGGGACATTTGAAGTCCGCCAAACACACCTTGAATAACATCTTCTGTACCTACGCTGATGTAACCTAATTCCTTTGCACAATTACTTAATATGTATGATTTCTGTGACCCTGTATCTAATAATACACGTACAACTTTAATAGTATTTTTATTAGGGTTTATTATTTTGACCAAAATAGTCTGAAGCAATGTATAGTTTTGGGTAATATTATTTGAAAGAAGTGAGTTTTCTAAACTAGTATTATCTTTTTGTAGTTTAGGGTTAGATTCTCTTTTAGTAACCAAATCTGGACACATAATTGGAAAATGTTTTCTAGAATAGACTAGACATTTAACGAATGTTTTACAATTACGGACAGAATGGTTAGTTTTCAGACACGCAAAACAACCCCGTTTGTTTATTTTTTTCTTCCTTTCCTCTAAGGTCATTTTTTGTGCTTTGATACAATCCTGACTTGCGTGATTACAACTACAAAATAGATAAACTGGACTTTTCTTACCCTTATCCTGATTCTTTGCATTTCCAGAGAATAATGTGGCGGCTGTACTTATCTCTTTCTCGAGTCCTTGCTTTATGCCGCTAGTGGTGGTGAAATGGGAGTATTTTGTCTCTTTTTCTGTTGTAAAACCTGCTTGTGCTCTTTTAATTCTTTCTTCAGAGTCGACTTCACTTCGGAGAAAATCTAATAACATTTGCAAAGGGTTATTAAAATCGGAATAAAATTTACCTTTACCCTCATCTATATTGTATTGACACCTATTATTGCGATGTCTTTCCCATGATTTTAAGATTTATTTAGGCAGAGCAGACTCCACTAACGGAAATAACATATCTGCATATTTTTCGCTTGTAACACCCAATGATTCTAGAGATTTTAACTGCGGTTCTGTTGTCGTAAAAAGTGGTTACTGACATACCTGAATGCGCATTATTTTTTTGAAGAACGAGATTAAGTAGTTCACGGACATATACCTCGATAAGGATCTCATCTCTGGCAAAACGTGTCTTCAGTTTGTCTATCGCCTTATAATAATTTTCTTTAGTTGGTGGATATCCTTCTATTAATTGTCTTGGATTAGAGCCTTCTTCCATGGAACTTATCAAGTACTGAAATTTATCTTCTACGTCAATATCGCAGTCTTCATTAATTTTTTTAAACTGTCCCCAAAAACCAATCCAGTTCTTTACATCACCATTAAATTTCTTCAATTCTATTTTGGGTAAGTTGAATCGCTTCTTTTTTTCTCTCGTCTCTGAACTAACACTCTGAATATCTTTTTTCTTCTTCTCCAAGGCACGTTGACATTTAATCCTATAGTGTATATGTTTAGACCTGTATTCTTCAGCTTCTTTTAATTCTTACTTTATTTCTTCAGTGGTTATATTTTCATAGGAGTACATAGCATCTTTAATGTTCGTGTCTAAATTGCATAACCTTTCTCCTTGGTCCTGTAGTGTGCTTATTAGAACCTGCACGTGATAATCATCAATGACGTCATCTTTCAATGCGGATTCGATTTCTGAAATTGATTCCTTGAAGGCTTCTCTTAACTCGCCTCATTCTACCTTCAAGTTCTCCATCGTAGGTCCTGTCACGGTCGCCACAAATGTTGATAATAAATGAAGATGGAGAACGTAAAAAATATTATTTCAGAAAAAATCGTTTTTATTCAAATCTTTCAAAATTGACAAAATTACAAAAATCTATGAAACCTTAGTGATTCGGATTATTTGAAACTAGGGCAACGATATGATTCCTAAGATTCCCAACATTCATTATAAAATCGGCCCTCGATAAAATTGTGCATCGATTTCATGTTTGAGTAGGATTAAAACTAAAAAATCTAGAAAATGGAATGTTAACTTTTATGAAAAATGTGGTGTTTAAAAAGTTTGGATCAAAATTGTTTTCATGCCATTGATACTACGCCAGTGGGTTATCGTAATTTATCGAAGTATTAAGTATTAACTAAAAATGGCGATTAACTCACATGTACATATTTTAATTTATCATTTCAATACTATATCACCTTGTAGAATGAAAACTGGGGCGTTTACAAGAAAATTATATTTAGCTCTTCTTAATAATTAGTTAAGATCTACAGGTCCCTCTGTTTACGGTACTTTATTTTAAAACACCTTGTATAAGGTAAATGGGGCAAACATTGACATAACTTCATGATTTATTTTTTATTAGATCTCAATTTTTTTTTAATCGCTTATAATTTCCTGAGACAGGCATACTATGTAGTAATACTAAGCAATGATGTACGTAATGTTCTAATTTGTACTTTATCCGAAAAATTTTTTTTTTTTTAATTTTGTCCGGTGTCAGTGTTATTCTATGGATAGTATAATATTGACATCTCATATAAATTAAAGCCCAAGTCAATGTTAAGAAATCGTTAAGCAACATTGACACATATAAATCTGTTTTATGGCCGTTTTAGGTAGAAACGAAGAATTTTACCTTATTTTTCTGCAAAAATGAGTCGGAAAACTATGTTGTTTTTAATGAAATCATATTTTTATTCTGAATAACAAAAGAATAATATAATGTGGGAACCTTATTATCAAAAACTGGAACTTAAGCTAGGAATTAAATTTTAAAAACATACAAAAATAAATATTGGCACGTGTCTTTGGCAAGGTAATGATACTAAACTAATAAATTTTGGTAACTCCACTAATGTAGGGCACTTTAAAAAAATGCATTCCTCTATTTAACGTCGGTTCGTGAATAATTGCAAGCACTGCATTTAATAATACCGGCTCTATGTCCTCAACATCAGGATATACAAAAATACAAACCCTTTTTACGTAAAAAGTTAACCTTAATACTGCCATCCTTTACTTCTACAACCTTTCCTATGTAATGAATGATATCTTTTTTCCCAGGATATTTAACGACTACCCAATTTCCAAGTTTAACATTCTGAATGTCGGTATGGGTACTTTTTTGACTGTTGTTTGTTTTAGCCTCGTTTACCCCATTTTCTCCTTCTTCTTCAATTGTCTCATTCTCTACTACTTCATTTTCTGCAGTGATCAAATCTTCAAACTCTTCCGGCTCATTGTCACTATTATCATCATAAATTATCTCACTTTCTGAAGAACTGGAACCTGATATTTGTGCCTTTCCTTTCTTCTTTTGTTTGCCAATGGTTGCTTTTGGTTTTGCTTTTTTTTCTATTGCTTTTCTTCTTCCTTTTCACGGAGTCTCTTCAAAACATCTTTGTCTGTTAGGCTTGTAAAACCCATTTTTTTATTAATTTTTTGTATAGATTTTTTGAATGAATTTGTTTTATCTCAATTGGCAATTTATTATATAGTTTAGGACCTATGTACCAAAAACTTCGTTGAGTGTTGGATTTTAATACTTTGGGTAAGACATATGTATAACTTTTTGAACGGGTATTATAATTGTATTCATTTTTTTTCAATTCGCCTTTATTGAAATGCTGCCTTATTAATAGATTCTGACAAAACAGTTGTCTAACATCAAATAATTTGCTTTCTTCGAATAGTTGCTGTGTTGGGTAAGTATATGGTTTTTTCAATATAATTTTTATGAGATATTTTTGCGTATTATTGAGATTGTTTATATGGCATTCTAATGCCCCTCCCCAAGCTATGATCCCGTATTTAATATGTGATTCAGCAAGCCCATAATAGATCATTTTTAATTGTTCAAAATTCAACAGTTTTGATAAAAATTTAAACCTAAATAATAAGATTCTGAGTTTCTTTATTAAAAAATCAATATGTATATCCCATTTTAGGTGTTTGTCTATATATACCCCCAGATATTTAATATTAGATGCTAACCTAATGTCGACTAAATTTTTATTGACTCTAATTGAGATTTTATTGTAGGTAGGTGAGGTATTTTCATATGAGCAAAAAGGTATAAATAAAGTCTTGTTAAAATTGACAGTAAGCAAGTAGTGGTGAAACCAATCAAAGATATGAGGGAGGTCGTTCTCAACTAATATTTTTAATGTATCCCAGTCTGAGCTCTCATAAATAATTGCGGTGTCGTCAGCAAAACTAATTATTTTCCCATTTGAATTGACAGCAAATAAATTATTTAGATATATGTTAAACAATATTGGTCCTAGTACAGTTCCTTGTGGGACACCACATATAACATTTTTGTTTTCGCTGACCACATCATCAATTACAACAGATTGTTTTCTTTCTGTTAAATATGAACGAAGTAATTCATAGCTTTGGCCTCTGAAACCAATCTCGTGTAGTGTATCGATCATTTTTGTATGACTAACCGTATCGAATGCTTTTGTAAGGTCGATGAAGATGCATAGAGATGCCTTTTTTTATCAATATTTTCATATATATTTTTTATCAATTGAGCTATTGCATCTTCTGTCGATCTTCCCTCCCTAAATCCATATTGTTTGTCGGAAATTATATCGTATTTGTTCAAAAACTGTGAGATACGTATCTTTAAAATTTTCTCATAAACCTTTGCGAAATTAGTTATTAATGAAATTGGTCTATAATTTGTCATTAAGTCTTTTTTTCCTTTTTTGAATAATGGTTTTATGATTGTCGTTTTGAATGGCGTTGGAAAGAATAAGAAGAAAATGGTCTGGCTACCAATGCAGTCACATTTTCGATTGGATTTAGAAATTGTGTCAATGTTATACCAATGTCAATGTTGGTCCGCGTTACCTTATATCCTAAGATATTTATTGGTAATGACCAAGCCTAAATTGAGAATTTTATTTTTGTTGCAGAATGTGTTAGAGCTTCTTTGATAACAACAAATGAAAAACCAGATTGTATAGAAAATGGAAATTATGCTCCTATACAGTGTAGAAGAGGAAGTTGTAGATGCGTTGATAGTGATGGAAATCAAGTCTGCAAAAATGTTAATTGCGAAGTGGATGAAGTCAACAAAGTTAATTTAAAATGTTAATTATTTAAAATTAAATTAATTAGTATTTTATGTTTAGGTGAAAGAAAGGATTTATAGAGATATGTATTTTTAGTTGTTGATTAATTAAATAAATCATATAGTTTTATATTTTTTCCTCCATGCCACACCCTTCTTTATATAGAGAAGTCCTAATAGGTATGTATCACAGCAAAGGGCGGATTTACGGGGGGTACTGGGGTAATTACCCCCCCCCCCATGATTATATATTATAAAAAAAAACTTATAAAACTTATAAAAAGGTAGGTAGAATTTGTAGTCTGCCCTTCTAAGCAAAAAAGCGGTATCTCAAAATTTTTTTTTTATATTTTAACCCATCAGATAGCTTGAAAAACATTAAAAAAAGACAAATTCACGTATCTCAACTTCACTTGTATTTACTAAAAGGGTTAGGTGTATGACATTAATACTAAGCTAAATGACTGCATATCCATGTACGACACAAGAAATTAAAAAAAAAAATTTAAGTAATCCAGCAGTACCTAAATTATTTTTTCAACTTGAGGGAACGCAAAAACAACTTTTGGAAAATATGCTTTCTCTCGAAACTCGCTTCAACTGAAATACCCTTTTTGACTTAGGAGGATGAGATAGGTTACGTTAAATATATTTTAACGGTAATTTCATTTAAAATTTTATTGGTTTCTTGTTCCTCTTTTACATCGATAATAAGGAAGTTGTAGAGAATTTTAAATTTTATTTTTATTACAGGGTAAAAAATTAAGTTTAATAGGGTTTCATATAATAGAAATGAGAAATACACGTTTATTATTTTGCAGCACCTTAAATTATTTTTTTATTAAAAGAGTGTATACAGCTTCCTTAATACTTTTTGGACCTGGCCCTTCTATTGACCTGACAAAATCGGCAGTGACAGACCTAATCAAAGAACATTCCCTTGTGAAATTCAAAGAAAGATGGAATGAAAGAAGAAACTGCAGAGTTACCAGAAAGCTCTTAAGTTATCCTGACAACACTCCAACAAACAAATACTTGACTATGACTAGACAGAATCTGCGCCTAGTCACAGGCATTCTGATTGGTCATTGCCAAGTACAAAAGCAACTGCATATCATGGGGCTGTCAGAATCCGCACTCTGCAGAGGGTGCGAACAAGAAGATGAGACCATCGAGCATATCCTTTACGATTGCTTGACGCTCTCATTTATTAGAAGATTTGTGTTCGGCGAGTATCGGCTAACATCGGCCGATATAAGAGAAGCACCTCTTGGCGACGTTGTCAACTACTTTAAATATGTAGGCTTGCTCACGAGATAGGAGGTGCATATCTTCTCAGGAGGATGCACAATGGGTCTAATGAGGCCTAAGTGCCGTGGGGTAACCCACCCTTCACAAATTACAGATACAGATTCCTTATTTGACTGGACTTTTAATACCTAGTAACAGTTTAAAAGTGTTTTTTGTTTTAACTATTTTTAGTTCTAGGTACTGTCCTAGTATCTTTGTGATTAAAACTTAGTAGTAATAAAATTTTATTTTTAACATGTAATCTTGGTAAATTTTACCCCTCCCATAAAAAAAACCTAAATCCGCCCTTGATCACAGCAGCCGTCTTAGGCAACGTAGCAGCCCTCTTAGGCAATACAAAAGCCCTCATAGGTATGTATTACAGCATCCATCTTAGGCAACATTGCAGCCGTCTTTGGCGATATAGTAAACCTCTTAGACAAACTAGCAAACCTCTTTAGACGGGTTAATGCTTTTAAACAAAGTACTCTGCTACTTAAATGCCTTTAGGCATACGAGAAGTATATTTGTACAATCTGTATTTTATTTCAGGACCGTTGGGTCTTTCGAGGATGAAAGAATATCAGGATGGTCGTGCAGTCTGGCAGTCCGTCCGGTAAACATAAATTTATATTATTCTCTTCAGATCATCTTTCGATGACAAGAGACAGGTTACAAAATTAGTTTTATATTAATAACTAACTAAATTTCATAAGGTAACTTGAATACAACAAAAGCATTCAAAAAAACATTCAACATATCATAGATAAATGAAATACAATGCTGACATATAGGTACGTAAAAATATATTGAAATATTAAAAATTATTTATAAATTCATCTAACGAGTAGTCTTCAACTAAAAGACCTTTCAGGTACTATTTAAATTATTGTATTTATTAACAAATGATAACATACATGGTGACACCAAAAACTTTCCAAACTAAATATATTTCTTCCATTAAATAATCTGAAACATCGCAAAAACCCGTCAATTTTATTTTCAAGGAAGACACCTACAATGAATACTTTTAACACTCTCGCTTAACCTCCTAGGAGGGGTAGTTGTTACCCTTAAAATCTTAAATGGGAAAAGGGGTCAAGAGGCACATCATTTTAAAGGGCGTTTAATTCTCTTTCCAATGGTACCCTAATTTATTAGCCATTTATTAAACAAAAATTATTATATCGAGTTGAATAAGAGGAGGAATATCAAGTCTACACGTTTAACTTTTTATTTTTTTGGTAAGGTGACTTTTACAAAATAAATAACTTTTAATTTGCACAAGAACTTTTAAAAATAGAACACATAGGATCTACTTGTACACTATCTTAAAAATGTTGTCCATTGTACTGTAAACAGTAAAAAGTCTGTTTCCCAACTTTTCTCTAACATTTCGGAAAACTTTTACAGGAAATTGACCGACATGCTTCTGTAATTTTCATTTTAAGATCATCAATATCAGCAGGTTGTGTTTCATAAACAACGGTTTTAAGGTGTTCCCAAAGAAAAAAGTCTAAGGGAGTTAAATCAGGTGATCTTAAGGGACATTCAATTGTTCCCCTTCTGCTAATCCAAGGGCCTGGAAATCTCTGTCAGACTAGAAGAAAAAATGAGGTGTAGCAGCGTCCTGCTGGAAATTTAACACATCCTCCTGTAAAACTAAATTACCTTCTGCATCAGTTTGTTTCTAGCTCGTGAGTTTATAAGAGGACCAATAATCTCTTCAAGCATATTAAGGGACAGATCACCTGGCAAGTTTCCTTTATTAAATAAAGAACCAATAATTGCGTATGCCCTTCTTGAATAATATGCGGGTGTTCGTCACTCCAGTACCAACATTTGTGTTTATTAACATTGTCATTTAGAAAAAAATAAAGATTCATCACTGAAACAGATATTCAGCAGAAGATTAGGGTTGGCGTTGACTTGATCAGACATGGTTTTACAAAACTCTATTCTTTTATCAAAATCGTCTTCGTAGAGCTCTTGACGTATCTGCATTTTATAGGAATAAAATTTAAGCATTTTCAGTGCTCTTCTTACAGTCTCACGTGATATTCCCGTCTGTTCTGCTACTATTCGTATGGAGCTAGTTGGCACGGCAATAAATATTCCCAAAACCTCAATTAGAGCTTCTTCATTTAGTACTCGTCAGTTATTTATTTTCTTATTTTTCACCGAACCAGTTTCCAAAAACTTTGTTACCAAATAGAGAATATACCTATGACTTACATTACGATTAGGATGCCTTTCATTTAAATGCTGCCCTTCGTGCGCATTTCCCAACCTCTTCATAAAGGATAATTATTTCGATTATTTCCTGTAGTGAGTAAACCATTTTTGCTATAAAATTACAACCATTGTTATCTTCTGGCCACAAATGAATACCAGATATTGTAGATAACGAGTGAAATATTTATTAAATTATTATTATACCTATCAAAACTTAATCTTGGAAATAAAGGCAAATTTAAGTTTAAGCTGGAGATCAATGAAGAAAACAAAACTAGATACTTATTATTTGAACTATTTCTTTTATTTGAAAATCTTACAAGATGCTACAGAATACAAAAATATTTAACAAACATTGCAAGTATTTTAATAATAGTTAGTATCAGGTGTAAAAGTTATTAAAAAATAAATGAGACACTTAATTCAAAGAAAATTACCTAACATTTGAAAATCCTTGAAAAAAAAAACATATATTGCAAGTATTAGGGGTACAAATTATAAGAATTAAATAACATTTTGTTCAAATAAAATCTTCAGGACATTAACAAATACAAAGAATATATAACATTTAATTCAAAGAAAACTACTTATTATTAAAAAATCTTTAGGATACTAGACAGGTACAGAATTTTCAACACAGAAGATATATCTTACAATGAGTTTAACAAAGTTTAATAGGAACATGCAGATAACTAGGGTAGACCACTGTCAGAAAGCATCGATATGGTTTCAAACTTATATTCTCTCCACTACAAACATAGACACAAAGGACCACGCACTTTTCTTATGTAAACGGGAGTACCGTCAAAATGTCTGAATTTTTGATGTGTTAAATAACTTGATGTCCCCATCAAAAGTGTCCATGGCTCCAATCGTATCCTATGACTAGATTTTGAGATACAGGGTGTTGAAGTTAGAAATCCCTAATTCTTTAAAATGGACACCATAAATCACCCTTAAATATTTTTGGAAGTTTTTTGCTCATTCTGTGTAGTCAAAATACATACTTAACTACTATAATTAAAATATTGTACCTTACGGGGTGAATAATGATTCGGCAAATCTTTTTTGGTCAAAGTAGGTATTCCCACCGAACAAAAATAGCTAAAATACAGAAAAAAAAATATATATCACCGTCAAAGTCTCTCAATATTTGATATCGTATAGTACTGAATGTACTTGTTCAAAATTCTTATTGGTAAAATTAGATCCTATGACTAGTTTTCCAAATATAGCTTAATATGTACCAAATATATGAATTTTAAACAATAAATATATGTATACTGACAAAACAGATATTTTCAAGGGAAATATCTATTTTTAGATTTGCTTTAGATTAAGAATATATCCCTTGTACTATTTTCAAAGAGACAAAAAAATCGTACTTACAGGGTGATTGCGGTTGAATATGTAAAAGGAAAAAATCAACAAAATGCTGAAATTGTTGGCAAAAAATAGAAAATAATTGCCTTTTAACTTGCGAGTTGTTTATTTAAAAAATCTTATTAGTTTACATACAGGGTCACACATTATTGCATTACAAAAAAAGTTCATTATACGGTAGGTATAAGTAGGATCTAGGGAAATGAATAATGATCGGATTAA